AAAAAAAAAAAAAGAAGAAGAAAAAAAGAGAGGCATAAGCTTCCATAATGATCCAGGTTTACCCCAGTTATCAGTTTCCTCTCTGATGCTGTATGTATAAACCAGTGATGAGGATGATGATAATGTGGTTCCTTCACAGATGATGGAGGACACCCAGGCTGTTGACTGGGATGTTGAGGAAGAGGAGGAGGCAGAGCAATCCAGTGAATCCTTGGGGTATAGCTTGGAGCCTGTAGGGCGACTGCATGTCTTCAGCAGTGCCCATGGACCAGAAAAAGGTCAGGGGGTATTGGGTGCTGAAGTATTGGTATAGGTCCTTTATTTTTGTGGGGAGGTGGTTGGAGGTTCGCAGGAAGCTTATATGTATTTCAAGATCTGAAGGGCCGAGCCCGTGGTGCACTCGGGAGAGTGCGGTGCTGGGAGCGCAGCAGCGCTCCCGCCGCGGGTTTGGATCCTATATAGGGATGACCGGTGCGCTCACAGCGCTCCCTGGCTGAGCGCAGTGCGGCCGGTCTCAAAAAGGACAAAAAAAAAGATCTGAAAAACTTTTTTACTGGGAGTGGAGAAGAGGGGGCTGATTGAGTTGATTGCCCCAGGCTAGTGTCTTGGACTCACTGGAAGTGATTTTACTTTGGTAGGAGATGAAGAGATTCAAATAAAAAATCCAGTGTGGTTGGAGGTGAATGGTGGTGATGATTGCATAACAATGTGAATGTTGTTAATGCCACTAAAATGTACACTTAAAATGATTAAAATCGTTAATTTTGTGTTATGTATATTTTATCACAATAAAAAAAAAATCCAATGCGGATGAATGCGGTATTGCATATAAATAATGCATTGCATATACTCTTCAATGCCTAGATGGCCTAGGGTCTTTTACTTTTCTGATGCATGTGGGGGCCTTGATTGAATAGTGGGGAACCTAACAGGAACATTTTCCTAATGATAGGCCAGGACTCTGGCCTTGGAACCTATCTACCTCTCTAATTCTTAGATTTCCCACTATACCTCGGGAAGAATGTGGTAGGCCGAATGCCTGACTGCTCTGTGGCCCTGCCCTTTCCATCCGTCTCCAAACAACATGCAGTGATTGAAATCTTCGCATGGGACAAGGCACCTATCCTGCGGGATTGTGGGAGCCTCAATGGTACTCAAATCCTGAGGCCTCCTAAGGTCCTGAGCCCTGGGGCGAGTCATCGCCTGAGGGACCAGGACTTGATTCTCTTTGCTGACTTGCCCTGCCAGTACCATCGCCTGGATGTCCCCCTGCCCTTTATCTCCCGGGGTCATCTAAGTGTAGAGGAGACACCCAGGGTACAAGGAGGAACTCAACCCCAGAAGCTTCTGTTGGCTGAGGACTCAGAAGAGGAAGTAGGTAAGTTTGTGTATTGGAAGGATGGGTGAGGAGATGAGGATGATGAGCGTAAAAATGTCAACTTACTCTTTTCTGTTCTTGACAGATTCTCTTTCTGAACGGAATGTGGTGAAACAATCAAAGATCACATCCTCCCCTTTGGCAACAATAGTTCCAGAAAGGTGAGTGCCAAAGGCCAGACACCTGAGTCTTGAAAAAGAGGGAGAACCAGAGACTGGAGGATCAATCTCTAGGAGAGATAATTATCTGGAAAGTTGGGGCTGGGAGCTATATATATTTATTCACTCAGCTGAATTTTTATTGAGCCCCTTTGATTTGCTAAGTAGAAAACTAATTGCTGGAGATAGAAAGACAAATACTACCTTATGTCTGCCCTCAAGGAGCTCACAGTTGAGTAGGATATCCCTTCTTAGGAAGTAGATTCTATAGACTCTCTTCTTTTTACTTCACAGTGATGAAGAGGGACCTTCCCCTGCCCCAAGTGGCCCCAGGCGACCTTTTGCCTTCAACTTGGACAGTGACACAGATGAGGAAGAAGGTCAGCAACCATCTGCAGGGGACGCCCCCTCAGCTGCCAGAAGAGGTGCTGCTGCAGAGGCAGAGCAGCCTGAAGATGATGGAGTTGCAACTGAAATCCAGCTCGAAAAGGATCAGCCTTCAGTGAAGGAGAGGGACAGTTACTCAAAAGTTGAGAGGAAAGCAGGGAATGGGGTGGTTCCAGTTGGGGTGATTCTGGAGAGGAGCCAACCTCCTGAGAAGGACAGTGACACAGATATGGATGATGACAGCAAGCCTCCTGGAAGGCCAGCTGAGGTCCATTTGGAAAGGGCCCAGCCTTCTGGCTTCATCGACAGTGATACTGATGTGGAGGAAGAAGGGATCCCTGCCACGCCAGCTGTAGTTCCTATGAAGAAGAGGCAAATCTTTCATGGAGTTGGTACAAGGAATACTGGGGCACCTAGCTTGGCACATCTGCAGGAGAGCCAAGCTGGTAGTGATACGGATGTGGAGGAGGGTGAGGAACCACTGGCTGTCCCTCTAGAGCAAAGCCAAGCCTCTGTGGTGATCGACAGTGATACAGATGATGAGGAACAAGTCTCAGCAGCACTCACCTTGGCACGTCTGAAAGAGAGTCAAGCTGTTATGTGGAACAGAGATACAGATGTGGAAGAGAATAGGGCCCAGCCTGTGGTCCTTCTGGAACAAAGCCAAACAGCAACTGGGAGAAACAGTGACACAGATGTGGAAGAGGAGGGGCTCTCAGTGGAAAAGAGAGAAACTGTTCCTAAGGGTCACACAGACAAAGCTGGAGCCCTTGTTATAGAACATTCAGAAAAGGGTCAGTCTCCTCGTGGGGACAGTGATGTAGGTGTGCAAGCAGATAGGAGCTCATCTGGGATCCACCTGGAGAGAAGGCATGCCTCTGCCATCGTGGACATCAACACAGAAATGGGGGAGAAAGTCCCACCAGAGCCAGCTGTTGTACATCCAGAGATGCATCAGGTGCCTGTGGAGGTGACAGATCAAACAGATGTGGAAGCAGAGGGGGGCCAAGCAAAGCTGCCTGTGGTGCCTCTAGAAGAAGCCCAGCCACCTCCAGATGGGGACTGTGAAACAGATGTGGAGGAGGGCATGTCCTCAGCAGCCTTAGCAGTGGCAGACGTAAGAAAGAGCCAGCTTCCAGCAGAAGGGGATGCTGGGACAGAGTGGGCTGTGGCTGTTCTGGAGCGGGAGAGAGCTCTTGAGGTGGGGGCCCAGGGTGGGTCACCAGTGGCACAAGTGGAGCAGGACCTTCTCCCTGTCTCAAGGGAGAACCTCTCAGATCTGGTGGTGGACACAGGCATTCTAGGGGAATCACAGAGAGAGGGAGCCCAGATCCCCACAGGAAAAGGGACAGAACCAGATGTGGGCGGGACCAAGGACTCCAAAGACAACCATGGTGGTAAGTGCTGGTCTTTCTTCCTCCCTTGACCCCTGAAATAGACAGTGGTTCTAAGGGTTGGGGTTGGAGAGAGGATAGTAGAGATAAAGTAAGGAGATTAGGGTGAGATACGACTTTTTATTATCTATGCTACATTCCTCCTCCATCAGATTCTGAAGATCTGGATCTTCAAGCTACCCAGTGCTTTGTGGAAAGAGAGAATCAGAGCCTAGAAGGTGAGTGAGGACATCTGTGTTATTCGGATCCTGGTGCCAGTGGGAGTTGGGAGATTAAGCTGGTGGTCCTTGAAGGGTGTGAAGGCTGGCGTGGGTAGGGCAGGGGACTGGGAATAGGACCCTGGAGTTCTATGGAGAAGGTGTGCTTAGGCCATCTTTTCTTGTGCAGGAGTCCAGAGCGTGGCGGGTGAACCCACCCAGGTCTTCCTTTTTAGTCTACCCCAAGATCCTGGCCCTTCCCGTTGCAGCTTCCAGACCCCAAGTACAAGAAACTTTCCCCCACTCTGTGCCCTCAACTTTGCATGCTTTCTTCTTTTCTCCCTCTATGTGTTTCTTTCATATTTGACTATTTTGCTTGTGTTTTTCCATCTCATCAGAAAAAAGTGCCATGTTAAGTCAGACCCATAGACCAATTAGTCTAGATGATGTTCAAAGAGGTTACTGAGGAAGCTTTCATATGAGGGTATGATCTTTTTGAAACAAACATTAAATGTTATAGTTGCCATTTTTATTCCCAGCTTTCCTTTAGTAACCCATTTAGATTTATTATTCATGAATTTATCTTAATCCTTTCTCAACCTATTACCTTTCACCCTGTACCTCTGTCTCTCTGTCTGTCTCTCTTTCTTCCTGACTCTTTCTTTCCAGGTGCCCTGGATGAGCCATGGGAGGTCTTGGCTACACAGCCATTCTGTCTGAGAGAGTCTGAGGCCTCTGAAACCCAGCCCATTGCCGCCTACCTTGAGGCCCATGGATTTTGCCTGTCGTCACCTAGGGTAACACCGCAAGACCAACATCCAGAGAGCCCAGTCCACACAGAGCCATTAGGGATTCAAGGCAGAGGGATGCCGACTGTGGAGAAAGACCTGGGTACAGCAAAAGAAACAGCAGAGAGGGTGACCCCTGAGAGGGATACCAAGAAATTGTCACCAGAAGGAGAGAGAGAAGATGCAATGGGTGATGAAGAATTAACCAGAGGTATACAGAAGAGAGGACAAAAGCAGATTTTAGCTAGCGACACTTAGAGACAAGAGTTCTGACAAAAAGGTGAAAAGCACAAGTCCTGAGAGGAATAGGGAGAGTTTGAAGATAGAAATTGAGACATCCAAGGAAATACAAGAGAAAGAAGTAGTGAAGCAGACCCTTGAAATATTTGAGAAAGAAATGGAGAGGTCAGTACCACAGAGAAAGTGTGAGCCAGCTGGGTTGGAAGTGAAGGTAACTTAAGACGGGAGAGAGGCACACAGAATGGGGAGACAGGGTGGGAGCCAGGACCAGAAAGGACAGCCTCCAGTCCAACACCAGAGCCTGGAAGGGAGCAAGGGACTTTCAGGGACTTGCTTCAGCCCTGGTAGCTTCTGGGAGACAGTCAGGTGGAGGATGGGAGCCCTAGGAGGCAGCAGAGAGGTAAGTGAAGGCGGCGGGAAACCCCAGGTGGCATGCAGCACCAGAGCCTGGAAGGGAGCAAGGGACTTTCAGGGACTTGCTTCAGCCCTGGTAGCTTCTGGGAGACAGTCAGGTGGAGGAAGGGAGCCCTAGGAGGCAGCAGAGAGGTAAGTGAAGGCGGCGGGAAACCCCAGGTGGCATGCAGCCCTTGTGATGATCAACCCCTGAGCAACTGACTGCTTAGAACTTAGCCACCCTTGTGTTTACTTTCTGTCTAGGCCATTTGAATTGCAAGATGCCACCTGCTGAGCAGGCTTCCAGGGTGAGCTTCTTTCTCTACCTCCTGCTACTCCACAAGTCGTTTCTATATCCCCTCCTATGTCCCTTCCCTGGCCTTGCTTTAATCTATTCCTTTCTCCATATTCTCAGTTTTCCTTCATTTTCACCACTCCTTAGTTGGTTTCTACCCCTTTATCCGTGGCACCCCTTCTTCCTTCATTTTCACCACTCCTTAGTTGGTTTCTACCCCTTTATCCGTGGCACCCCTTTTTCCTTCATTTTCACCACTCCTTAGTTGGTTTCTACCCCTTTATATTGTTTTCCATATC